TAAACAAACCACTCTATATCTGTGTAATGAGATGTACTGGTAGTCTCGAAACCCTACTCACACACTCTATATCTACCTAGGTTTTTTATTTTCATTTGTTTAATTGAGTCTATATATAAAGTAAGATAGATCTGGATAGTCCTTTTGCCCTAGTGTTAACAGGAGACTTCTACAGGAATGAGACCCAGCTCTGATGAGGGTGATGGACAAAAGCTCAGCCCCTTTTCACCCGACACGAGGGAGGGGGTGTCGTGGGCTCAATCAACCTTGAAACTCGTCATAGAAACTAAAAATAAAATAGCTATTATCCATTAAGTTTAATATGTCCAAATCTGAATTTGATTAATATACTTACTTGCCTTGCCAATTAATTTTTGAGTTTGCGCAAAATGTCGATCTTAACCCTCATAAGATATTGGGTTGAAATCAGATGACTTTTATTTAATGACCTCTATGAGCATAATGAGTATATAAGTTCGAAGCAATTGAAATCCGTAGGGATATTTGGAAATTATCTTGAGACCTTGTAATAGCTCCCTCTCTCTAAAGAAATAAATGATTAAAGCTATAAATTATTTTTATTTTTTTAGCTATATAAACTAAATGACTGCATCTAACCCAAACTTGTAAATACTGGAATATTGGATTACTTTGCAATGGTTAGTATATTCCTAAAATTCACTGGATATAAAATGTTTAATTAATACTCAAGTTAAACCTAAATATAATTCAAATAAATGAACATTTTTAACAAATCCAGGTTGCATTTTTGCCTGCATCAACTGCTAGTAATAAAATCTTATTTTGATGTATAATTTATTTATATTCCAATTATTATTGAACCTTTGGAACGCGATTTGTTTCAGTTTACGATATTTACTTGAAGATGCTGTCGAAAAAGTTTATCCCGTCAGGAAAATCGCCATTAAGTAAACTCTCTGAGTAGTAATTAGGGTTAGTATAGCTGCCTAGTTTGATGTTATGGTAGTTCTCTTAAAAAAATTAATTTAGAAAGAATTTGGAGCATTAGATAAATGCTCATTTACTACAGTAATTCAGGGTATTTGAGGATAAATCTTCCATTTTATGGACATTCAGCTTAATACAGTCTAATGTTAGGGCTACATTTACCATTTTTCATTTAAGGTGAAGAAGGACTGGTAGTTAAATCTTCCCACAATTATATGAGTAGGCCTCATTTTATTATTTACCTTCACATCCTTGCTTTCTAGACGGTATTCTCATCCAGGGTGGACGACAGTTTCGACCCCGCTTAGGTCTCATCAGCACCCACCTCAGGACGTGAACCTGAATAGTGCAGCATATATTCCTGACAGGTTATCAATCAGTCGAGACTATGCATTACACTACGCAAGTTCTAGTCCAGCTGGGAGTGCTAATGAGACCTAGGCGAGGTCTAAACTGTGGTTTAGCCTGGATGGGGATAGCTTTGAGGAGCAAGGCTAAGCGAAATTCAATAGATACATGATGCTTACTCAAATCGTTATGGGATAATTCAACAACCGGACCTTCATCACCCTAAATGAAATAGAGTGAACACAGCTCTTCTATCAGAACTATTGGTAGTCTCGAAATCCTACTCATAAAACTGAAAATTGATATATTCTGTCTGACCACAGCCTCGAAATGGAGAGGAAGAAGGACAATTTTTATAATATACTTCATTCCTCTGGCAAAATGGGGGATTCCAGAGTCTGTATGATACCGGTGAATAGTCTTACTTTACTTAATCTACTTAATTCAACCGAATCGCCTTCACTATATGACAAATATGGTGTATGCATACTTTAATCGTCTGATTATCTTTCTCCATAATCCAAAGTAGTATTTAGTGCTGTATCCTTAGACCTTGCGTTTTTTCAATCTTTAGAAGGCCTATTTAAAGATATTTCTCTGTTGTTTAATCTTAAGCAGCCAGTAGTTATTGTTAATAGCCTTGATGGAATTAGTATTTTGTGAGTTAAAGCAAAGCACTTACAATTGCGTAAAAGCGATCAGCTTTTCCGAACTAACTTGAAAGTTATGCTGTGTCAACTTATTTAAATCATTAATTATTACATATTGTTAGCATATTTATACTTCGAGCTTGCTGATACTTTTGGAAAGAAAACATAATCCGTTCAAGCTAACTCTTCATCTTCTCTTTCCTGTTATGGTCCATTCAGCCAGGACACCGTTGCATCCTTTGGCTGATGGTCATTGGTCAAAGGAATGATGAGCATATAAAAAGGAAATTTTGGTCCATCCGATAAAAATGTATCTTTAACCTATCTTAACATAACACTTTCATGGCCACACTAATTGTCATATATTCTGATCATAAGGTAGATAAGCTTGCCCAACAGGCTTTATGAATAAAATCTAGTGCCAATATACGACATTTTCATTGGCCAGCGGGTAAATCTGTTTGTGATTGGCTCCTTTCCACCAGACTATATATGCCAGTGCCAAAAGATAAAACCTTGAAGCCCATCCTACTAACCACGTGTGTCCACTTCTCTTGGCCTTGTCCGATTCATTTGAAAAACTGTATGGACCATAAAGTCGCCTCATTCATCTGAACTATGCTGCAGTTATGTATACACTTCGGAACGGATTCTTTGATCTTTCTCCATTTCAACCCTCTCGTTTAATGTACCTCATCACTGAAACAGCTTTTATAATCAAAAAGCGATCTCATTCATGTGTCCAGAATTGGAATATTTTACGATTCACACAAATCCGAATAATCTCTAGCATGCTTTAATATCTTGTCCTTCTGTTTAACTGTTGGCAAAAGCCACAGGTCGGTGGGTGGTGGTCATTTGGGCATTTCTGCAATTGCATCGTTGTGAAAGGCGTAAAGAAGAAAGAAATCGATAGGTGGTCATAGCTACTGATCCTTATGAGGATGACACGGCTGGTAGTGAGCCGCGCATCAATGACTTGGATCGTTTCTACTCTTTCGTCATGTGCTCTACTCTTGCCCAGTCTGCTTCATCCTGGTTGGCTGCAGCGCATTGACACACCAGAAACACGAAAGCTGGCAGTCTGTCCAGCAAATCGGCGTCTTCTAGTAGCTGGTTTTTCCTCAAAGATAGCCAAAACTCTTGTGACTAGCGAAAGGGTAAGGGACATTTCTTTTGGCCTAGGAACGCCGATTGGAACCAATGAATTCAAGGAATCACAGGCGCTATTGTCTACAACGCACTCAATAGGACCTTTCACTCGGTGTCAGTTGGCCTGCGACAGTGTCTCTGCCAGCCGGCACGTAATGCCGGCTAACAACCAACCTACCTGGTCCCATTCGAACCATCCTGTACCTCAAAATATGCAAAATACTTGGCAACAGGAGGACTTAACCACTGGTGAGGTGGATTCCGATGAACAAGGCAGAGTTGTCTGTCTGACGGCACTGGTTGGATTCGGACGACGACCCGCTCTCGGTAACGCATTGGCCTGGAGCGCAGCATTCACTCTACTTCTGGCACTATGCCTGCTTGTTGTTGCCGCTTGTCTGGCTGTTACTAGTATTGCGAAGCGTGAAGTCTGCGAACGAAGCATCTTCAGTATAACTGGAGTACTCCAATGTATCGCTGGTGAGTTCGAGAACTATAAAATCATTGTCCTTGTCCTAGACTGTTTCTACTTTTGGAGATAGATTCTCTAATATTCTAGTATTTCTTGTATTTAATTTGAAAAATCTATCGCACTAACTCCTCCATATCCAGCAGTTCATGCGAACACAAGCTTGCACCGATTATTCACAGACCCTTCTGAGTATTCCTGGTTTGGGTGCCTGCTTATTCTGCTTATACATATAAATATGTATTTTTTATTTATTTAAGATGCGTTCACCCTATTCCTTTTAAAATAATGAAGGACCGGTAGTTGCATTTTTCCACTGTGAGATGCGTAGACAGTATGTTTACATTGAGTATATCTCATCTG